AAAATGCTCTGGAGAAGGAAATGGCAAACTACTCCAGTACCTTTGCCAAGAGAACCCCAAAATGGGGTCATGAAGAGTCTGACATGACCAAATGACTAAACAACAACAACAACAACAAAGTGCTTATTATATACTAAGTAGCAGGGATGTAAATAGAAAAGTGAGGCAGCCCCTTCCTATTCTAAAGGAACTTACATTCTAATGAGGGGAAATAACACATGTAGAAGGATTTAGTTGAAGTCAGGTTGATGATGAAGCCAAGGAGTCCTTAAAGTATAGCAACAGGTAGATGGCAGGGCTTGGTGGATATTAGGGAGCAATGGTAGGGTCGATGGTAAAGCCTAGTGGTCCACCATGGTACTAGGAAGATTGTAGTTGGTAACTCCCTACTCATTCAAGCACTACTGACCAATGACTATTGGGAAGGGGATGGCAGTCTTGAGGTTTAGAATAGGTGTGGGGCTCTGGGTTACTTCTGAAAGAGGGGAGAATTGAGGGCATCAGTATTCAGCCATGAGGAAGCACCCATCATCTGGTGAGGACTGGGTAATGGAAGCTGAACTGAGGAGGGGACGGTCCCAAGCTGCTGGGGTTGCAAGGTACCCATTGGATAAAATAAAAATACATTGATTACATTTTTGTCACGGATACTTACAAGATCCTAACATTGTCATGTACTTCAAAGGACATTGAACTGAGAGGAATTGGGCATTTTTCTTTTTCTTTCATCAAAATGCTTGTATGTCTTCCCACCAGGAAGAATTTCATTCTGTGTGTGAGAGAGTTTGAGTTCTTTGGGGTGGGGGCATAAAAGCTGGGGATCAGGTTGGGTTCCTTATGAATAAGAATCAACATTTTTCTAAAATGAGTGATGGAAGGCTTATAAATAGGAAGGAAGACAGTCCAAACAGGTTCTCTGGTACCTTTGGAAAGCCAGATGCCCCTGTGATCATAGATTTGGCCCTATGCTATTAAAACTATTATCGGTGACCTGGGTAAAGTCACGGATTGGTTTCTCATTAATTCTAAAGATGGCACAAAGTTGGGTTTGGCTAACATACTGAGTGATGGAGTCAGACTCCAAGCAGATCTTGATAGGCTAGGCTGTTGACCTGGATCTAATAAGATGAAATTTACCAAGGATATGAATGTAAACTTTTATACTTTGAAAAATCAACTTCACAAGTAAGCTGAAGGAGATAGAGCTTGCATTTATCTAGCACTTACTATGTACTAGGCACTGTGCTAAATTCTGGGGAAATGAAGGCAAAAACAGCCACTGATCTCAAGAAGCTCACAATCTAATGGGAGAGACAGTGTGCCAATAGCTACGTACCAGTAACATATAGGCAGGGCAAATTGGGGATAATCTCATAGGAAAGTCATTAAGATTGAGGGGCATTGGGAAAAGCTAGACAATTATTCATCAGAAAAAAGATCTTAGGGTTTTAGTGGACCCACAAACTCAATATGGTGAAATAGCATGCTATGGTAACCATATAAGGAATGCAATCAGGTGACATCAAATAGTGTAGTGTACTGACCCCTGTCTATGGTGGTGCCTCTGTACTCTCCCCTGGTCAGGTCACACCTGGAGTCTTAGAAGGTTCAGTCATGGGGTGATATAGTTAACAAAGGACATTGTTAATTTGGAAAACAACCAAGTGGGGCAAACAAGGTGCTTTAGAGCTTTGGTTTCATGCTGGGTGAGGAGTGGTTGAAGCTTGGTGAAGAGAAGATTTAGGGAGGGGGGCATGATGGCCATCTTCAAGTGTTAAAAGAGCTTGTCTTATGGAAGAGGAAGTGCCCTTATTCTATTTGATCTCAGAGGGAATCTTTTGTTGTTAAGTCATTTTCAGCCTTGTCTGACTCTTTGTGACTCCATTTTGGGGTTTTCTTGGCAAAGATACTGGAGTGGTTTGCCATTTATTTCTCCAGCCCATTTTGCAGATGAGGAAACTGAGGCAAACAGGGTGAAGTGATTTGCCCAGGGTCACCCAGCTAGTAAGTGTCTGAGGCTTCCTGATTCCAAGCCTGATGCTCTATCCACTACCATCTAGCTGCCCTCAAAAGGAAACTTTAGGCTTGAGGTAAAGAAAACCTTCTTATTGAATAATTACACCAAAAAAAGTTAATAGGCTGCCTTATAAGTTAGTGAAACCTCCTCAATGGAGGTTTTTTAAGCAGTCTAGATGAGCCCTTGTTGGGTGTATCATAAAGAGAATTCTTGCTTGACTAAATGGTCTGAGATGTTGCCTTCCTCTGAAAGTCTGTGATTTAGAGGAGAAGATGAATGTGCTAGAAAATGGTTAACAACTAAGTCTTGGGGTGGATCCTCTTATTCACAACACACTTTTAAGCTTCATGTTCATCATTAACATTTTTCTCTATTACTTTTTTTGGGGGTGAGGTAAATGGGGTTAAGTGACTTGCCCAGGGTCACACAACTAGTGAGTGTTACATGTCTGAGGCCGGATTTGAACTCAGGTCCTCCTAACTCCAGGACGGGTGCTCTATCCACTCTGTCACCTAGCTGCCCCTTCCATTACTTTTTAAAGTCCAGACAATCTCAAGGAACAATGAATCAAGCCCTGATTTTGTAATGTTTGCTGATTTCTGAGACGCAAATTTTCACACTGAAAATTTCACAATGGGCTCCCCAGTTGGTTGGAGCTGGTCGGAGCCGGCTTCAGCAGAATCCCCGTGTGGAAGTGACCTTCGGACAGCTGGTCCAATCTCTTCATTTTACCCATGGGAAAACCTACAGTGAGCTGTCCAAGGTCGCACCCATAGTACGTAAGAGAGCAGGGATTCAAAATCAGATTCTCTGACTCCAGTATTTGTAAAGTGTTTAGCACTGGGCCTGGCACATAGTAGGCACTTTATCAGTATTTGCTCCCTTGCTAGCTTATTCTCATGCCCAGAAGTGCTGGTGCTTCCTTCATCTCCTTTAAGGAGCTCTGCCTCCTCTCCACCCCAGCCCCTTCTCAGATTTCCACCTTTCTCCAACTCCCCCCCACCCCCCACCAAGGCTAAAGTGTGGACTGAAGGGACACTCACATGGAGATCTCAAAGTCATTCCAAACCTCCTTCCCAGCAAACTCTCTCCCCTTCTCCCCAAGAGTTGCCTTCAGCCCCCAGATATATAACTATGGTCAGAGGTAAGCTGCCCAGGAGGGACCGGCTCTTGGTCATGCTTAATTCTTGGTCATTCAGAAGTCTTTTCTGAGCTTCCCTGGATGGCTTTTCAACCTTGGAATGTTTCAAGAGAGCAGTAGGGCACAGGAAGCCCCAGGAGTAGAGAAACTCAAAGCAAAGATTACTGGAGAAGTATTAGCAGCAAGTACCTCTTGAATGAAATTAAAACACACACACATGCAGCTCTCTTCAACCTTTCTCTCTTCTCTCTTCTTCCTTTCTTTCTCTCCCTCTCCCTCTCCTATTTCTCCCTCTTTCTCTCTCTTCCCTCTTTCTGTCTCTCTCCCTTCTCTTTCTCTCACTCATCACCCCCACCTCTCTCTCTCCATCTCTTCTCTCTTTCCTTTTTCTCTGCTCTTTTCTTTCTTTCTTTCTTTCTTTCTTTCTTTCTTTCTTTCTTTCTTTCTTTCTTTCTTTCTTTCTT